ATCCTATCTAATCAACAAAACCATAAATCATACATTTGTTTTTTTTCTGTTTTATGTAAAAAGTCCATGGGTCAAGACAGATTTTGAATGCAGGAATTGACTGATAGACATTTTTGCAACATTTCTAGCTCACCCCACTCCCAACAGACCAGATGCTTTTAGCATATCCATTCTTTTTCCCAACTGCATTCATCTGAAATACAGAAGGAATAATTCCAAGGTTATGCAATTTATTCCATGAGTCCTCACACAAAGTAATCCAGGGAACAGCCTCTACCAAAGGACAGATGGAAATGACAAGGCAAAATGAAACCACACTTTTAAGTGAAGTTTTCTTACACTAGGGTGACAAACGAGAGCCAGTTTGGTGTACAGTAGTGGTTAAGGCACTGGGTTAGAAATTGAGGGACTATGAGTTCAACTCCCACCTTAGACACAAAGCCAGCTGGATGACCTTGGGCCAGTCACTCTCTCTCAGCTCTAGGAAGCAGGCAATGGCCAACCACTTCCAAAATCTTGCCAAGAAAACTGCAGGAACTTGTCCAGACAGTCACCGGGAGTCAACACTGATTTGAAGGCAGAGAGAGAGAGAGAAAGAGAAATATAATCATCTACTTATGTCAATGCATTACAATCTGCTTTAATGGGCCAGTTTTTTGCCCCTTCCCATGATGAGCTGAAACAACAAAGGAAATACCATCTTTAAGAGACCCCAAAATACAAATATTCCCCCCACAAAAGAAAGATATTTGGCCCTAATAATAATTCTGCCATATTTAATAAGCCTTTGCAGGGTTCTAGCATTCCTATATTCCCATTAGGTTCATAATAATGGAACTATTGTTTACATTGTGATGTCATCCTGGGAACACATCTATAAATGGTTGACTTGATTTGCTGAGATTCTTTTTCCCCTGCTGGCTGATATGTGGGAGAGGGGTGGGAGTTGCCAAAAGAGGCTCCAAGGAGAACAATTTAGGGAGGCATTTTTGTAAACTGTATGCCCAGTACTTAAACGCATGAAGGGAATAGCTGTGCACAAATTATCCCAACACCAGCCTGAAAAATTCAGAATAGCAAAAGATTGGCAAACACATGCAGCAAAGTTACTATCCAGTATCTTTTTGCCTTGCTCTTCCACTGGATCCTTATCTAGACCCATCTAAAAAGAGCTTTTAGCTACGTATGCTTCCATGGCCCTCCTGTCACAATGGTCCCCATGCCACATGTCTTTTCTGTGGCCATTTTATATTTTATAAATTGGTTTGTTCTTTTTAAGGTTATATGGTTATTTTTGATTACTGTTTGTTTCTGCTGTGCACTGTCCAGGGTCACAATGCAGTGTGCTCATCCTGGCATTTGGACAATTACAGAGTTGGAAGGGGTCTTTCAGGCCATGTATTCATTCGGTGAAGAAATCCACAACTTACGCCTCCCTGACAAATGGCCATCTCGCTTCTCCTTGAAGTCATCCAGAGAGGTCCATGGCCTCTCTAGGTCATTGATTCCAGTGTTGAATTGCTCCCACAGTTATGATCTTTTTTCCTAAAATTCAATCAAAATCTGCCTTCCTGTAGCTGAAATCCATTCTTCTCTGTCCTTTATTCTAAAAGTGTTCTCTCACCCTCGGCCGCTTGAAGATGTGTGTACTGCAACTCCCAGAATTCCCTAGACAGCATGCTGGCTGGGGAATTCTGGGAGTTGAAGTCCACACATCTTCAAGTGGCCAAAGTTGAGAAACACTGCTCTAGAACAATGAAGAAGAAATCTCAACCTTCCTGTCTAGTTATTTGAAGAGGCTATCATATCTCCTCTTAATCTCAAGACTAAACATTGCCAGTTCTTTCTATCTCCCTTTATGGAACCTAGTTCCTAGTCTCCTAATCATTCTCGTTACTGTTCTCTCAACTTGTTCTAGTTTGTCTGTATTCTTTTTCAGGTGTGGTGCTCAAAACTAGACACAATACATGAACTGACCAATGTAGAATAAAGCAGAATTAAAACTTCCCATGGAAATTATATTTCTGCTAAGGAAGCCTAAAACTGCAATTTGCTTTTGTAGAGTCACATCACACCAGTGACCTTTTATTCAGTTTGCAGTCAATTATTACACCAAGATCTATTTCACCAGCCAAGATTAGCAGGGCCTGTCATGAGAAGGGAAGGGAAGGGAAGGGAAGGGAAGGGAAGGGAAGGGAAGGGAAGGGAAGGGA